GAGTATGCGTGCAGGTCGCGCTTGTACCCGTTCCGCGGCCGCTCCGCCCCGTTGCGCGCCGCCCACACGCCCTCCGCCCCCGCCCCCGCGCCCGCCTCCGCCCCCGCCTCCGTGCCCGCGCGACTGTGACCCCTGCGACAAAATATACAGGGTTACTTATATTATACATATATATTATCTAACAACATAACGACATTTTCACCTTCATTATCAGCACCTTAACATCCCCACTGTTTGGTCTTCCCTATGGATGGAAACGGAGAGAGAATGGGCTATGATTTACCACACGAGTCCAATGTGAATTAGTTAACAGGTTAACGCGCCTTCCGAAGCACGGAGGAGTTCGACATAATAATCTTTTATCACCAGAACTTGCGAAAGTTGCTTGAGAACCATAGTAACGTTTTATTTACGAGTTTTAACATAACTCAATACTTTTATTAAATAAAGTTTTTATTTTTAGTGTTTAATATGTTTGATTTAAAATGTTTTAAGTATTTAAATGAGATATCAGATTTTTAAGTACTTACTTAACAATTTATTTACTGAATTATTAAAAGTTTTAACGCAAACATTGTTATTTATGATATTAACTATGTAGTCCTGCGAGGTTTGTTCGTGTTTTACAAATAACCCTATATCTATAGTGACAGTATAACCGGTTTCATATATAAAACACTTTTCGTTCTATTTGAAATCAAACTTTGAAACCGTCGCGCAAACAACGAAGTTCGTTAAAGTAACTAATTGCGCCAATTATTGTTTCTTTTATAATGGCCATAATTGACTGTGAGTTAACCGTTAGCACTTCAGTGGTTCATGGGGAATGTTGAAATTTTCGTTGTATTAACATGAACACCCTTTTATTGCAGTAACACAATGATTCATAACTAATGTAACACTGTCTATGAAAACTTTATATACATAACTAGCTTTTACACGCAGCTTTTTTCATCTTTGTGATCAAATACAAATATGCAACATAATGGATGAAATCATGTAAATATGAAGGACCACCCCAGAATTGGAAATTATCTAATTTAACTAACTATCAAATTAACGTATCCTACGAAGCATGGAGGAACTCGATATAATACATTTTCGGTCACCTATCCTTAAATTGGCCTTTCAAAAATAGCATTAAGGACCGCACGTGCTAACTACTTAGCTGTCGCTCAAATATTTTGTTTATAAATATAATGAGAGTGAGACAAATCTGGCTTACCTTTTTTTCTTGGGTTTTTTGTCTCTTTTCGCCTTCTTCTCATCGTGTACAGGCACAGGTGAGATAGCCCGTTTTACAGCTGTAAAAAAAACAACATTTTTATAAAGTAAGGTTAGCGAAACTATACAAAGAGTATAAACGAACTCTCAGGGATATAAAACAATTGAGAAAAAAATTATAAATGCTATTAAAATTAACTCATAAAGGCCCACAACTGTATCTTTGTTTGGTTCCTTTAAAGGCCCCTTGATTCGAAAACTGAACAAAAACATGTAATTTTTGTTCAAGTTCATAAACTTCTACATTTTACTAGGGAAATGTATCTTATCCTATTGTACAATTTAAATAATTATAGTTAGATATAATTTAAATATTTACTTGACAATTTTATATTATATAAAGGCTACATACAATTGCCTTTAGATATTCTTTAACGGTATAATATCCTTTATTTTGTAAACAATTTTTAAAACTACTTTTAAAATGATTTATTGGCAAATCTAATACGTCACTGGGGATCTTATTAAAGTACTGTATACCTTGACCCAGGAGTGAACCTAATACCTTCTGTAACTGTAAGAAGGCATTGCTAACCTGTTTTTATGTAAAGATTGTGTGCACTATGCTTGGTACACATATTAATATTGTTCTGGACAAAAAGTATTATATATAATATGAAATGCAACATTCAATATTCTGATTCCTATAAATTTTTCTCGGAGAGATGTTCATGAGCCTAATTGGTAGATTGTCTTTTTTGTAAAACAAATATACAATCATAGGACATTATACTGTGAAAATAACTATAGTACACTCTCCGGGCAGTTTCTATATTGGTTATTTAAAAAAATACTCAGCACATTATCTTAGTTCAAAAAGTTTTTCTCCTTTCGATATTAAGTCTTAATTCTTTTAGCTAAATTTAAAATTGATAGCAGGAATTTCACATATTTAGTAAACTGATAAATGCTGCTGGGTATACTATCCGAATGGAATAAATAGAAAATGGGCATTTCTATATTGTTTCATTCGGGAATTGAATTGTAAACCTAAGACAATAACGACGGACAGAAGCTAGTTTAGGAACAAAGGTTTGTGACTAAATATTGTCCAAATACTGAGTATTTTCAGTTGAATAAATTATTATTTTTATACCAAGTATTTTGTTATAACCTACACTTGCCAGCAATAAAACGGAGTGGATCCATTTCAGTGTATTTAACAGTCGTGTAATGAATACTACTTTACTAAATACTATAATGAACATGAAATCTACTATATGGCGACTACTTACAATAAATAGCTTTGGAAATCAAATATATTTAGAAACCTATTTATTAAAAAATATATAATTAATATTTTTAAGTTTCATATTTAATATTAATCATTGTCAAAAAACCTTTTTTGTCGTAGTAACTTGAAATTAAAATAAAAACAACAGTTAATAATATTGTTGTTACAATATTTATAAATAACAGAAATAAAGATGGTTCCATTATATTACTCTCAAGTGTAGTGTCATATCGCTAACTCCATATGCTGGAATATAGTAGCGTCAGCAAATGTTATTGCTTCCATAGACATGACACACTATTACTGAGAACTTGAAATAACAGAGGTATTGTATAACTTGTGTTATCTAGAAAGGAAAGAGTATATTGTAGTGTTACATATTTAGAACAAAATTGGAACGGAACTGTTTGTAGTCTAAAGTATAGTGACACTTAAAAGAAAATGGTTTTTTAAATTTAATAAATATTAATTAAACCATATTTTCAAAAGTAAGATAGCGATACCTTGATGTCAGTGTGACGTAAACCTTAACTTCAGTTACTTTTATGGTTCAATCCAGCCATAATTATATTACATCTATTTTCAATAATAAAATATCAATAAGTACTCACGCGGTGTAAGTGGTTTGTGTGGTGTGAGGGGGGCGAGCGGCACAGGCGGGGGCGGACGCGGGGGCGCGGGCTCGTCGTCCACCAGGATCACGTCCTGCGAATCCGACTCGTATCCACCCCACGCTGCAGAACAAATTACACTTTAATACCACTCATATTTAAGGTTGTATTTATCACAGGACCAAAAGACCATGACCTGGGGTTCCGCTACCAAATTTATATTTCATTATAATGTTGTGTATTGTGTGTAATTTTAGTGTTTTCTTTAACTATCGTTATTCACGGTTCACATAAATTCTATATATCTAATCTAATTTTACTGGTGATAGTGATCAATTTTAGTTTCATGATTTTTTGAACATACTACTAAGTATTCAGCGTTTGAATATCTTTTTTATTTAAACAACTATTATTAATTGAGAAATAATATAAAGAGATACGATAAAGTTATTACAATAAGATTTTAGCATTTGCTAGCTACTGAACACTAAATTTCGTTACATTTCTGCTAAATCAATAGTTACAATACATTGTTTCATAAGTATCAGTAATGAAAGACTGTCATGCAACATAATGTTATATGGTGTAGGTACTAAGTTTCTAGGAATCGCCACAAATAAACAGGTCTTTGACAATTCATTAAGTAACGATGCCATATTATGTAAAGTTTCTAACTTTGTATTTTTTATAAATGCAGCAGGCGATTCTGTAAAAAATTCGAACCCGAATTCGTATTCACTCGTGTATCAGAATTCACATCGTTTATTGAAGAAATTCTATTGATTTCATATTTTTTAATAAATACACAAAACTAAATTGATTATACGTGTCTCAGATAATCTATTCTTATAAGATTTCAAAACTCACTTCACTTATACCACGAAACGTTATTCCGAATTCAAGATTGAACGGATGCCGCTTTTTTTTAAGTGAATCCGAACACCTGAGTGAATTCGAATTCGTGTTTGGATTTTTACAGCAACGCAGGGCTCAACCGATAATGAACATTATTTCACCTACCGGAAGCTACATCATACGCGGGTAGTATAGGCTATAAATGCCAGCCTAATAAACGCGCCGAAGACAAATCGTATGAGTCTTATTTCTAACACAATATACTTTCAATCACTATGATTGGTTGACATTTCTGTTGAAATTTAGCCTTCTGTGGAAGTACATAAGTTATATTGTCACTCTGACATTGGGAATCAATAATTTTTCATGTAATAAATTCACCATACCTGGCCTGGAAAGTGGTCGCGGGCTGTTCACAGCTGGACTCACCACCTGTATGGGAATGCAGACATGGTCATAGATGAGCACATCGGTGTCAAATAATTGAGTACGGATTGTCATTAATGACCTTCTTTGAATGTATGATTAAAACTTATAATGTAAAGGTTTAAATAAATGTAATGTGTAAAATACAACGCACCAGGTTTAAGGTCAACGTTACGTATTAAACATAGCTATATCATTACACAACTTCTGATGTCGAAGCTTATTTGATTCTATTATTCGACAAATGCAAGCACGACTAAAGAGAAAGTGATGGGTGGGTGTTTGATTACTTAATCAATTAAATAACTTTATTTATGGGGTTCACTGTCATCTGGAATATTTTATGGGGTATGTGAAATCAAAAGTTTGAGAAACCCTGCTCTAGTATATCCATGGCTCCGTGGGTCAGGCGCTCCAGTTCAATCATCCTGTTTCGTCAGGATTTCCGTTTGGCGCGCTTCAAAATTTAAACTTGTATATACGATACATTGGCGAGTTATATCATCAGCTTAATAATGTCCTGCTGTTTGAAACACAGGCTTGATAGAGACGAGGAGAACATAACCCATCACGCAAACCTCATGCAAATTTAGGTTAGACTTTTTTAAGCAGATTTTAAGTAAATATTCCATAGAAGTAGCAATATTTACCCTGGATAATGCGGGTGAAGTAAGCGGCGTGCCCCCCAATCTTCGCACTTGTCGCTCGGCCGAAGATCGATTGGAGCCTGAAATTCAACAAAACTATATAATTCTTATTCTAAGATCGATCTATACGATATATCAAAGACATCTAATATCCTAAGAATTCAAATTGGTAAATATGTGATTAGGAAATACTTGAACGACCCGTTACCAGTAAAAGGTTTAAAAAAAAAAAAAATATGAATACAACCAAAAATCCAACAACTCGTAAATTATCGCGAGAGCCAGTCTAGAGTTCTACACGGTAGTTAATAAATATTTCATGTGATCTTATAACTTCACTCCTCATACGTTTCGGGGTAAACAGAGAGGACTACTTATCACTAGGTACGGTGTATATAAATTGCTCACTGCGTTACATTTATAAATTTTCATACATACTGGCAAATAGGACACCGGGCTACTACGAAAGTCAAAATTCATGTATTTCTTGACAATCAATAAATAAAAGTCATGTATTAATTGACAAGTTTATACAATCAATATAAACTTGACAATCAATACTTAATGTATTAAAATAGAATAGCAAGACGCATTATCCTGATGTGCTGTCTACTGTATACACAGTAGCATGTCATATCACCACAATATATCAAACTGCAGTTTTTAACTCTACCCTCATTGCATTAAAGTTTAAAATCCTGGGGACAGACACTTTTGTATGGCCTAACGTCGAGTCGACTGGATACGGTCACTTGTACAAATGTCCATTACGGTTTAATAACGTCTTTAAGCTCTAATGAATGTCAGTGTCAAAAATATCAAGTATTAATGTCGCTTTAAACTAATGGACGTTTGTGCTACTGACTGATAGTATAGTATTCAATGTTCTGTTACCGGTCTGCCCTGGTGAGGCTACGGACGGTATGACGAGGTCCCTCCATCTCTTCACCAGCACCTTGGCACGGCGCGCGAGAGTCGGATCGCTCGTCTTCCGTCGCAGTTCATTCACATGTTTACCGAGTCTGGTGGTCTAGAAAATGACATTATAAATTAACACGGTAATATGGGACAATCCTTCATCAAGACAGAAAAAAATACAGTCATTCCTAAATTTCAGCAATGACTGTATTTTTTTCTATGTGCCTGCGGGCTCAGTACAGATTTATAGGTGTTCCAAGGCACGGAGCTGCAGATAACAAGGATAATGCCTTAATTAATACTGCCAATAGTAGTACAAGAGGTCATGACAAAAAAGTGCAAGAGTTTTCTGACCGTTGATACTTCAATATGTCGTCATCGCGGAAGTCAGATGCTGGAACACCTGGTGGCAGTTAACATGCATTTAGGGACATTTTGAATTGCTACCAAATACTTTAAGCATCGAATCAATCTTTCCATACTTGCTTGGTATTGATGATTACATAAAATTTGACAATTAATTACTTTACGCTAGCATAATTATTCATCTTTATTTCATTTTATTCAAAAAAAATAAAATTAGTCAATATTATTAATGTAAGTCAATATATATAACGATACATACTCAATCGATGTATCGACATAAGTATTTATATGAATAGTAGGTATCGAAAAATTATTTAAAATTTACTCAAATGAATAGGTGTGTAGGTTGATGGTATCGGAACATCCCTACATGCATTCGAAGTTCTTAAATTTGTAATCGTAAAAATGGCGAGAAACTTGCTCTTACTGTAAAAGACTGTTTAGATCTCCCAACCGTAGAACGCGACAACTCAGCACGTCTCAGATATTGTGGCCGATATCAGGACCAAAAAAGTTTCGTAATAGTTTGAAATTTTTTGATTATTGTATTAATAAAATATAACTTTGTTTTGCGCCGCCACCACCAGGTATTCCAGTATTATTACCTTTATAGCCAGTTGCATATGCGTCCATTATAATTGTCATTAGTTTAAAGCGATATTGCCTATTCAAATTTGACATTCATTAGATTTTAAAAGCGTAATTAAACCTTAATGGACGTTTGTGCAACTGACCTTTCGTCCTTCCATAAATAGAGGTATATTAATAGTTATAAATTCTTGCACATTTTTATAGCGAGCTCTCAGTCCATATTTAAACTATCGATATAGAAATTCGATGGCAAGAACACTCTTAAGAAATCACGTAGAATCCGAATTCTTACCTCCAACAACTCTTTTGTGATATTGAATTTCTCCAGAATGGATATGATTTCATTGACGGCGTGCATGTCGACAACCTGTAAAAAAAAAAATAAAGGTATTACAAAAAAAAATTCAAGAAATTCAAAATAAAGGCGAGAAACAACAGCTAATGAAAAACATTTTTCAATAGAATTTTCATTCAATTTTACGACATGAAACAATTTTACGAGCTACAATCAATAACCGTGAAAACAAAACTCAAACTAAAAGAGAAAATAATGTTAAACAGTTTCCTTGTATTGTGACTGAATATTAATTTAGGTCTGTCATTATGAAGCTTAATGATTTAATTTATTGGTGGCTTTTAATTATCATCAGCCTATGTCTAAGAATACAGATCTTCCCTATGGTTCGAATTACATATGGAGGAACAGGCCATGAGCCACCATGGGGTCTAGGTAAAGTTGCCATATGGTCGGGAATTGTCTGGATTGACCAGACATTTCGTATGATGTCCAGAGTCCCGAAAAAACACACATGCCCTGACAAAATTTTTTAGATTTTGCACAATCCAATTATATGTGAAAATATTAAAAATAATGTGTAGGGATATTAGCTATTTAAATGTTATATTATGTGATCCCATAATTTGCCAAAAAAGTAGCTAAGTACGCATTGTTATTTTAAAATTTAATTAACTAAAAGTGAATTTTTTGATTAATATATTTTTGTCCTGATTGTGATTTTGCCCAGATATATTAGTCTCCCCATCTGGCAACCCTGTACTTTGTATGTTTTAAATTTGATACATATTCAACAGTTTAATTTGGGTAAAGTTGCAACTCTCAGATGGTCACTTCAAACATTTTCAAAGATCATCATTATACTCTACCTAATACAAATAAAAATGGTAACCAGCTTAGGCCTATTAAGTTTAACTTGACTGTCATTCATCAAGATAGATGCTCATTACTTTTTAAACATCTATTTACTTGCCAGGAAAAAAGTTAATCATAGTTATTATATAATAATTAATATATCTACTGATCATGCTACATTGGGTCCATATATAAAATTGTGAATGATACAAAGTAGCCATCAAAAGAAAAGACACCGCAGTTAGGATACGCCTCTCCTATGAATAGAATTCTATAGACCAAATGAAATGAACCTCAATCAAATATAACCCATAAATTCTTATATATTATTAACACTTACAGAGGCTACAAACTGCAACCATTCTAAGCTTAACACTGTTTAAATTTAATAAGATGAACTTTGAAAAATTTGTGAATAGCCTGTTACTTGGAACTGTTTCATTTTTTATTTTTTACTGAAATATAATTTGTAACTGTTATTTGATCAAAAAGCTTGGAATCTGATATTTAATAACAATATATTATTTTCCATTAAATTGTAAACACTAATAAATATGTATGTAGCAAAGGTTACGACATAAGAAACCACATATTTTTAATAGTTATTAAGTAATAACTAGAAAATTTTGTATCATTATCTATAACTGTATCAAAACTCTTTCAGTGTTATTAATAAACAAGGTTTAAGCAAATTAACATTGAGAATGCACTTGGTATTAGTCTAAACTCATATTATTAAACAGAGACTTTTTTTTTTTTTTTTTTCAGTATGGACTTGTTCCGTTATACACGGAAATTTTGCCAACATCCCGTAGTGATAGAGACACGTGATTTAAGAGACTGAACGATAGTTATAATTAAATATGTACGGTAAAGCAAAGGTAAATACAATATGAGGTTCTACAGGAGTAATATATACTCCTAGAAGGTAGTCAGTTTGCTAAGTCTCTGTATAATATGAATCTGGACTATAACTAAAATTATAAAATTAGCATAAATTTACTCTGATGCTAAAGCTTGTTTATTAATAACATTATTAGCACTGTACGGTCTGATAACTCCAGAGGATGTTCCATAGAGGGGTTAAACATATGTACAGTGGTGGTCATCTGTTGGCCACTTGTGCATGCATTGTTTGCGAATGTGCAAGTTGTGCAAAGCAGGTCTTGCAGATACTGAGCGTGGAGGTTGCTAGATACTGACCTTACACAGTTATAGCAATAGACTACAAAGTATCACCTGTTTCTATGAAATTTGCATTATATCGCCAGCTTTATGGATCTATCTGTATTAGGGATCTATATTAATTTAAATTCAGGAAATTTTCATTGGATATAAAAACACATATATTTGGATCTTTAAAACACTAATTTATCATTTGACATGGGCATGAATAGATAATTTTAACTTGTAGCTGGACACCATTGAAGAAGGGTAGCAAAGGACAGAATGAAGTTGAAAATGTTGGAAACCTACCCAAGAAGCACACTGAAATTGTGAGACATTTTTTGTCTATTTTTAACTAGTGAACATTGTTAAGCTAATGTACAGAAAGTCAGAATAAAAGGCTTATTTTTATTATATTTGATCAATTTCAAATTCACAATGCTATACTGTCTTCAGTAGAATATTCTTAATGAAAAGTGGTTAGAGCAGTTGCTCGGATTGCAAAAGGTCTCAGAAATTGCAAAATGGAATCCCATCTGATGGTGCCATGGATCTAGTGGATTTTTAAGCTTTTTTACATTAGGGCTTATTATTAAAGTCAAATACAAATTCATTAGCTACTAATTGTTTTGGTTCACTACTAAAATAACTTTGCATAAAAATAATATGGATTGATAAGAGCCCTGATTTAATCAAGCCTATTGTTGCCCCAGTCACAGTATTATGTAATATTTATAGCTTTATTTTATAATTTATATGATAGAGAAGTAAACATATAAACTTGATACAGTTATTGTTTTTAATTTGTTATTACCCTTACTAATATAATGCATAAATAATTCTGCTTATGACATGTTCACAACCAAATAACTGGGTTGATTGTTATATAAATTGATTTAAAGACAGTTTGCAGCCTCTAGAAGAATATAGGTTACTTTTAGTTGCAGCCTAAGTTTATCAAAACCAATGCCACGGACCTGACCAAAGATAGCTATTCAAATATCTTGTTGCCTTATTTCATTATAAATCATACTTGGTTCAGGCAAATATAGATTTAATAGACAATAATTAATGTATTTAATACAAAAGCCTCAATTCGGCTGTTGAGTCACTCAATACACTATTCTGAATGTTCTTTTTTCCTAGCCTGTTTTGGAATACCTATTGTACATTATTATTCTATATTTCCAGAACTCAAGCTCTTCAATGTTCTGATATAATTCAAACAAAAGACAAAGTTGTATGACACTTCAGTTATAGTAAAACAGAATGCTTATACTAGAAAATTATGAAGATATTTATAATATGGTGGCAATCAATATCCCCACATTGTGCAATGGAAGTATAATATAATTCTGTTTCTTAGGTTTCAATATAAAAAATATACAAATAATTACCAAACTTGTAATTAATATCAAGCAATGAGACAATCGTATATGCTTATAAACTAAGAAGATTATTCTTCTCTATAGTTTATAATGACCAAAAAGTATTTGGCAAGAAATCAACTGGAACTAGAGCTGAACACACCGTGTCGCTAAAAAATACCACGATCACACCAAATTATTGCGAGAATTTAACTTGTCGTAAGTTGCACAACCAAAAATGGCTGTAGTTCTGCTGAAATATCATCAATCTGGAAAAAATCGGTAGTGGAACAGGTGCAACCTGCGAGCACGAGGTGCACACTCCGCAAATAACTACTAAATACTCACGTAAGGTCAAAAGGTACAAAAAAAATACTCTTCCGTCAAATTTCAAAAGCTGTCGCATAATAGGAAAACCTGCAGGAAAGGTCACGCGTGGCACAATTCTATACTTTCACATTGCAAAACATTTGGCACTAGGGACGGAGGGACGGCAGGCGGCGCTCTGACGACGTCAGTGGCCCCTCCGCACTCGCACAGCTCACGTTTCCACACAGCAACCACATATCAACGGTTTGATTAACACCACACCTCCAATTCTTCAACCACCAAACTCCACAATACATATTTGGCACTATTCCGTAACAGGAAATAGTTGAGACAACCTCACAAGTGGCTAAATCGCAACATCGAATCGGGTGTCACAGGCTCGTGGAGACCGTTCTCATATCTCAGCTTCGCTTATCAGAGTTATTATCTTTAAAACTCGTAAACTTACATTGTAATTGTTATCCAACGCATTCAGAAGTCGATTACTTAGATCATGAGCGTTATTACTCATTTATAAACCAAAATATTTAACTAAATACGACGAACGTGTCTCGGCTGCGTCGTAATGGCGGACCGACGACTACGTATGCCCGAGCCAGGGCATTTTAGCCGAATAATTCAGCTGATAACTACTGAGGCGACGCACACTCGTGTTTTTCCGTTTCTTTTGACGGAACAACTTTATTTTGCCGCTATGTGACAATAGATGGCGCTATAGTGCTGTACTAAAATAATAATATTTCATAAAACTCTATCATTTAGTCTATGTATTTAATTATCATAAGTATAATTATTAATAAATATTATAATAATCAATCAAAAATAACTATTTGTACAAGATTTTTTGCCGTACGCTGGCAACATAAAATAAATAATAGCGGTAACACACGAATTAATGTTCAAGCGACATCAATAGATGGCGCCAATAAGAAAGAGAAAAGGAAGTATTTTTTTATTATTTCCGTAGATTTCCGCCTTGGCTAAATAAAATGTTGCTATTATTACCTATTATTTTGCCTTATTGTCGGCAAAAGATAGTTTTATAGATGTGGTTCTTAAATCCATTAATAAAAAATAACGAAAGCAATTTCTGATTTCCAAACACAAACTATTTGAAATTTAGTATTAATAATGTAAATGTTTCTTTGATTACTGTCACTGCATTACTGCATAGAGAATACCGTTAAAGCAAATCCAAATTAATTCAATGGACATACATACAACAGAAATGGCACCAATGTCAAGATTTATGAATTTATAAAAATGTTATTTAAGTATTCATATTCATAATTGATATTTAATGCGTCAATGATTAAGATTTTTTTTTTAAATGCCCGGCCAACAATCCTGGCCGAGCCCTACACTTCACCCCACTTTGTAGCAGGCCTTTGTAATTACTATCTTCCCATTCATTCCAGTTCTATCATTTGTCCTGTACCTTTCATGCTACATTCCTTTTCTTTCTTTTATTTTTATCTTTTCCATACTTCGAGTGGCCGGGTTCGCCTCATCTATTACTATTCTTATGCTATTCTAGGTTTTTATTTCTTTTATTAAATAAGGTATACAACAGTTTTTTACTCTTTTTTGTTTTCTTATTCTAGTTACATATTTCATTTACTTAGCTTACTTATTTATTTCTTTAATTTCTTAACTAGTACATTAGTTTTAGTTTTGTTGATTATATAAAGTTGTTATTTCTCATATTATTGTTGTTCTATTTACTTATTTCCATTGTCCTTTATCTTATTCTATTTCTTTTTTAAATTAATTAACTGTTTGTTCTATATTTTTTGTTCTCCCAGTTGAATTTATATAATGCTTTGGGTTTTTACTATTTTAAGTGCATTTTTGTTGGTATATCTTTACATTTTACTTATTCTATCTTTGTTGTGTTTAACATATTATGGTTATATACTTAGCTTATAATTTTCTTTACATTCTTTGCTTATTCTATCTTACTTTATCTAATTTGTTATTTCTAATATTATTATTTATGCTTTCAGCCTCTTCTATATTATACTATGTGCTTATATTCTATTCTTATTTTATTATATTTTTATTCCTATTGTTAGTCACTCTAGACTATAATTATTATAGACTTTTGTGAACCGAACTTTTCCTTTTTATTTATTTTTTTTACTTCTATTTTGTTTTATTTTCGTATAATAACATTCCTCATAACATTATGCGTCGTGTTATTCTTATTTTATTTTTAATTTTCTATGTTTTGGGTGTTCTATTTCTTTCTTACCTTTGCCAATATTAGCATTCTCATGATGCCCTAGGGCATAAGGTTTTACTCTGTATGTTTGTTTTTTGTTGTATTTTTATTGTGTTTTCTGTATTCTTTTATTTTGTTTAAGTGTATGTATTTGTGTATTTGTATGTGTCTGTATTTGTTTGTTGCTATTCATATGCTGTGGTAGTGCGTGCCAAGTACTCCCACTTATCGCGCACTCCACATTCTTTGCTAAAGACGTTATGTTCCCGGTTCTCCAAACCTGCGTGCGCGCAGTTACAGCACTGCGGCGCTCTACCTGCTTCTCTTTCGGGGCAGTTTGCCCTGAAATGCGGGTCGCCGCAATGGCTGTATCTGTTCGCACTCTCCTAGCAAAATTTCTTGCCTTGACCAAACCCCAGGCATCTCGTACATTGGATGAGCGGCGACTGGTCTTCGACCTTTAATCGCTCCATCTCAATGTACAAGTACCCCCTTCCAGTCATGGCCTTCCATAATGCCGGCTTTACCTGGATGATCGCATGACATCTCTCTTGGTTGATGGCTTTTCTTCTAAACTTAATTTTTATTGTTTTTTCCTCCTCATTTTTGAATAATTCTTTATTTTGATTAATTATCGACTGTACTAATTCTTCTTCAGTTATTTTGTACGGTACATCCTTTATGATCGCCAATGGGTTCTTGTTTTCTACTTTGTCTATTTTAATTCCTTTTGCTTTTTCTAATTGGTTTTTTTTATCTTTTTTATTTCTTTATCCTTCAAGCAGCCTATTATTATTTTTTGGTCCTTAACTTTTCTTATTTTGTCTATTTTGACACCTCCAGCTTTTGGGTTCAGGATGTTTCTGGCCTTCTGGATTAGTTCTTCTGCTATGTCGTTTTTATTTTTCGACTCTATTACAATAGAGTGGACCGTTTGGGGTATGCATTTTTTTGTGGCGTTTGCATAGGTGTTTATTTGTGCCGTACTTTGGTCATCTTTTGGTATTTCTGTATTTCTATTTAGTTTTTCTTCCATTACTGTTGTTTTAAAGGAACAACAAATGGACAACAAAGTCATCGAGTGGGTTTTATTTGTCCGTATGATAAAATATTAATAAGGACCAATGAAGCTTATTTGTTAGCCGTTCATTAGCCAAGTCTATCATTAAAACATCCTAATCCGTCGGTCTAATTAAAAACCTTCCGTTGACACAGACGAAGCACTCAGATTAAGTCGCATTTATTCCTTATTCATTTTTCGATCATTCGAATGTAAACTGTCGATAATCTCAATTGGTTATCAAAGATATAAGTGAATTTCTGAACGATATATGGGAGAATTATTATTTTAAGCTTGCTACATTGATCTTTACTTTTCTCTTGTGGCAACATCGATGGAACTATCAAAAATTGACACTTTTTCGATTTGTGGAGATGTCGTATGTCGCGTTGCTTATCATGGCCCAAGAAAAATAATCGGAATAAATTATACGTGGATTTATTAAAAATTGGAATCGTGAGACATAGAACTTGTCATGTAATTAATTACAAAATGCATACGCAATCGGTGAGTGGTGATAAATGGCGAAAATCGTAGTGGTTTTGTGTGTTCAGTGATAGTGGATATGGATCGTCGGTGTTCCCAGTCGGTAAGGACGCTGGTTTTCGACGATTCCGACTCTGATCCACCGAAAACCGGACAGAAAAAGGATCTCACTTCATCAGGGGCTCCATCGTCTTTGAATCAGAGCGCTGAAGGTAAGAAACAAAGCACTTTGATGCATTATTTTGTGTGTTATGTATATAGCCGCGAGCTCTCAGTATCGCGGGTTCGCATTGTTTTCAAGGTTTATCTGTTCAGCTGTCAGTGTGTTTAGCGAAGGCGTGAATAAATAACCCGCTCTCATTGGACAAGGAGAATTTTGCGACAAATGTTTCAATCTTTTTTTTTGTTTCGAATCACCTACGCTCCTAAAACCCAAGAAGTTATTATTACGAAAGTATACCACACACCTTTTTTGTTTTGGTGTAGGTGTATATGTTATTTAAACCACTGTACCATACTTGCTTCACAAGTTACTGTCTTTAATTTTTTTATTGTGAGAAATTGCCAACTACCTACAATAATTTATAAAAATTAGTTTTTTAATATAAAATCTGCTGCAATTGTGTGGAGACCTTGCACATGATCAAAACAATGGATTAAATATTGAGCAAATATTGAATTCATTGTTTTGATGGAAAAGGCGACTGTGTCCATAAAGTCATGAGAATTACAAATTTTCATACACACTGTTCAATTCACAAAACTCATTTTCATCAAACTTTCATGGATAATTTTTTTGTTTGTCCATTTACAAATATTCTACACATTTTCTTTATTATTTAATGTGTGATCATTAAATTACAGTAATAAAAATTTTTTTAAAATGGCACATGACATCCCAGTTTAATAAAACTACTACAAAAGTTATGTGGCAAGCCCCTACTCTTCATCTTTAATGACTGTAATAAGCTTTTTTTTGTTAAATTGAAGTAAAAAAAAATTATTATCTAATTGACAGATAAAATAGAAATTCTTTTCTTTTTACCCAGGTATCATCTCTATTTATTCCAGCCAGCCCTGTGGCCTAATCGCTTAATTGTAAAATATATCACAATCCCTTTCCAATATATTTTCAATTTTGTTTCGACATTTTCAAATAGCTTTAAAATATATTTGTAAATATCACTTTATTTAGAAAATCCTGATTATCGTTCATTAGTGTCTTTAAAAAAATGTTGCAATCACACTGACAATCATATGTCAAATAGTTGCAGCGTGAAGTTTGTGAATATCTTTCAAATGTCAAAATCAAAGTGTCTCTTTTACATCTGTGATTGCCTTCTGGAGGTTACCGGCGAGTCGTTATAGTCATTTGCAGTTTCTAAAAATGTGTTAAAATTTCAAAAACTGTTTACTATATATCTTGTTTGAACCAATTTTAGTTGTAAGTGTTTGTTGAGACAATATGCCTTTTAAAATTTCACTTCGTACTTCTACTTCGGTAGTGTTATCCTTTAAATGATTGACTTTGAGGAAAATGGTTTTAAGAACATAAATATCATTTTTAAAAACATATTACTGTAACGTAAAATTTACGTCACATGTAATTTTTTATACAACTTGGCTGAATGGGCCTAATCCCGAGGAAGATTTGTTTCGTAAAAGAAAAAAAAAAAGAAAAAACTTCACTGCACGAATGTCAATTTAAACTGGATTGTGCAGTGTTTCATTAAAAACGGGCAGAGTGAGAGAGTAAATTAGTAACTCTTCATCTCTGTCTTAGTAGTTTTGTAGGATGTCCACGCGTTTTTAATAATTTCATAAATAGGTAATATTTAATAATGTTTACATGACCAAATTTAAACATTTACAGATATAATTTTATAAATTTTTACAGATATTATGAATGATGATGTTAGAAATTTAACCGATAAATTAATTTTTATTTATCGGTAAAGAAATTTATTTTGTAGGAAATAAAACAAGTACATAAATGTTATTATAATCATCTATAATGTATAAATCAATTTAAAGGATAGAAATGTTTTTTTTTTCCTATTAATTATATTAGAATACAACGGATCACTTTGCCTGGTATTATTGTCCTCCATTTTTCAGCTAGACTTTTATCCTTTAGGATCCTAGAAACATAAGAGCAATTTTGTCATGGTCAGCATAAGAAAATTATTACTTTATAAATATTTATCCAAACTAATGTGTAGGCCATTCCGATATTTTCCAAAACATAATTAAGCTAGTTCTCGTTTTTCATTTTCCAAATAACTTTGTACCTACCGTGAAAATATTGATAACGAAGAATGGCGGGTAGCGTAAGTAAAACTTATAAATGTTTATAATATAAACGTATGAATATTAATTTAAATCAAAGCCTCTTTGATATGGTTTTGTTTCTTGATCGTAGACACCCTATTTCATCACTGTTTAATAAATAAGGAAAACAGCTTACCTGTGGAATGTGAAGTCACATTCGTGATACCATTCATTTTTGCAATCAGCCAAGCAAAACAATATACCATTTTGATGTAAATAATCGAATTAGTAAGTCAAAACACAAATAAACATTAAACTTTAACATTGTTTATGTTGTCACATCGAGCGGCCATATTAATTTATAATATTGCTACTTAGATGTAACGAAAAACTACTAACACGACATCGGTTTACATTATAATTTTAATTAATTCACACTTTTACTTAAAAAACATATCAACTATGTCTATTCAATATATTTACTAATAGATAATAATTAAAATTACCTAGTGATGTCTTTAAAAAATCAATAAAATCTCCTAATTGCCAATAACAATTATTTAATTTTCCAATGGCAACTCGTTAGACAAGGACCTACTACTACAAATCTAATATCTCTAGTAGACCGTTTTTCTACTCTGAAATGTGACATAGAAAAATAAACCTTATTTTATATTAGATAAAGTGTAAGTTTGATTTTAAGAAATATATCAGTACGCAATCCAGTTTAAGTTGACATTCGTGCTTCACTGTCGGTTTTGACATTTGTCACTTCACGACCTTTTTAAATAACGAAAAGATGTGACTTTTTTTTGTTATATTTTAATCTTGTTGCATCAACGGTATTTAAGTAAAAATACCTTATATTTAATAATGGTGGAAACATAAACCTACTTAGGGGTCCACCTTGCCCCATGTTGCTTTAGTTTTTTGTTTTAAAACGGTAAGTTTTCGAAAGGATCGACCGATATATTTTTGTTTGTTTTGTTTTCTAAATTTTAAACGGTGTGATTTTCTTTTCAGTCGTTGGCGTTTTTTTTTTTTTTTTTTATATACAAGTTTTCTTGTACTTCAATTTTGATGTACTGATCATAACCTTTACCGCATGAGCCACGCCACACTCACTTGATACATCACAATCTTGGGCACGCCTTAACAGCTTAACACTATATAATTAAGGAGCAGCTATGTAAGCACGATGCATTAAGGAGCAGCTCATTTGGTGATGTAAAACCTTTTTATTAATAGTTCGAAAATTCCAATCACCTCTAAGACTTTAGAGATTATAAACTTAACTTTAATTTTAAAATATATAAAAGTTTCATTCAAATATATGGCAAACCAAAAGTAAAAGTGGTTGTTTGTTATTTACAAGCCCCCCTTGCGATTAAAACTCCAAACTCTCCGGCTTTGTTTTCCAGGTAGGTCTGGCGCCTGAAAAAGTTTATACTAGTTTCTTATAATTATTTAATTTGTTAGTGACCTACCTTTTGGCAAATTTCTTTGCAAACTTACATTATTTTTAATATCACAATTATAATAAACCTTAATTTTTTTAAATATTACAATTGAAACCATTCACACAGTAATAAACCTTAATTTTTTTAAATATTACATTACACATTTCGCACAGGTTTAAATGTTGATGAGAACATCTTGTTAGTTTCTCTTTTATGTGCCCATGAAGATTTCTTTTTATTTCGCATCGTGAAGTGGTTCACAGAATACCTAACAAGTTTCAACTAATAGTTTAGGAGTAAAGTGACATAGACTAGTGAATGCAATCTCTTTCTTGCGAGATCTGGCTGGGCCTTTCTTGCCGCGATGTCGCGGTATTGATATAAGTAAACTCGCAAACTACGGAACCCTAAAAAGGCCTATTTATCAGTCTTCCATCATATATAATATTATCTTTTCAACACAAGTGTAGAATGTTCATATCAACCTAAATGTTATTTGTTGACTCAAGTTCGCATTTCATTATAAAGCAATTAACAAAAGTAAACAATGAGTAGGTATATTGCTTAAAGTGTGTCAAGCTCTGAACTAATTAATGTACTCAGTTAAAATGTGTTGTTTAAGTAAAACATAACCGATACCGTTCTCTATGTACACTGCGCAGAAGACTAAAGTGTTGCTAAACTTGGCCAAGCAATCAAAATCAAAGTATCGTGCAGGATGAATTTAGTCATCATCATCAGCTATACGACGCCCATTGCTGAGCATAACCTTCCGCATAGATCACCCGAATCTTTATCACATCTTCCGGGGGCTTATCGCACATATACCCGCTTTCTGCATTAAGAATTTGAAGTTGACCATGTCTCAAACCGTGCGTAAGCCATTTTAAACGTCATTTAAAAAGGTTTTCATTACTGATTTATAATTTTTTAATGATCAGTAGATAGCAATTTGATAAAACTAGCACCGTTTGCCATATGAAACGTAAAAATATTAAGTTATTGAGAATAATCAGTTGAGATTTTGTACTTTTCTCAATTCAGAAACCGGCCGATAGTGTATTTATGTTTTAACATAATTTTAATACCCTTTTACGCTGTTAGTTAACGTTTTAGATGTGCTTTAATATTAAATACATTTACGACGGCTCCATTCTTTAAAGGTCTAGCCGCCGATTGATCACTTCTTGGAGTGTATTGCTTGTGTACTGAAACTTTTTTTTCCTCCTGAGTGCTATGTTTTTTTATGAAGCTTAATTGTTGTATTGTTTACAATATTGTGTTTATTAATTGAAAATCAGCAGCTGGAAGACATTTGGTTGTACACATGCTTTATTTGGACTTCCGTACGCTAGAAATGATACAGCAAAATATATCTATCGCATAAATATTGGCTATTTAGCGACATTCTGTATATGTCAAGTTTACTGTCGAGATTACTAGATTCCTTTTATAGATGCTGTTATTGTTAAGCTATTACA